TTTTAGTACTGCTTTAGTATAGGGACCAATTCTCACTTTTAACTAGTTTAGCATGGCTTATTAACATATTGGCTGTTTATTAGTGCTTATAAAGCAGATATTCTGCATGACCATACTCTACATCCCTAATCCTACCCAATACCTAAACTTAACAACTACCTTACTAATAATAAGCAGCAAATGAATAGTTTATTGAGGCAAAAGTTGTAGTTAATGCTTTGTTAATAGCAAGAATTGGACCTTAAAATAAAGTGTGACCACATTTTTTAACTAAAAAATGTAGGGCCTTGTGAATTCAGTTTTATTTTTTCCAAATTCTGTTTTCTGTTTTCTGTACTTTCCTTTATTGGTTTAATACAATTTTTTATCTAATGCATAATTAGATCTAAGAATAATTAGATTTCATGGAACTTCAACAATTTAAGAATTTATTTTTAAAAGTTACAATAATAGGGACCTATGAAATGAGTAATAGTAATGTATAACTTCTGATTTGTTGTTGTGAAGACAGAGGTGATACAAAGAGGTGGCATAAAGTCGGGGAAAGTTAGGATGAATCCAGGGACACTGATCAGAGAGGGGTCCCAACAGGGGTTAAAAGCAGAGCCGGACAGTAACTAAGTACATTTACTTGAGTATTGTACTTAAGTACACTTTTTGAGTATCTGTACATTACTTGAGTATTAGTTTTTCTGGGAACTTATAACTTTAACTTCCCTACATTTGAAAGACAAATATTGTACTTTTCACTCCACTACATTTCTATCAAGGTACTCGAAGTAGAAAGTCGTTGCTATGTAGCAGCTTTGAAAGTCAGTGGGTTATTTTTTCCTTCTCTATAACGTGACTTTCTTTCTTTTTCAGACAGTTTATCAGTAATCATTCTTGTAGGGCTACATCAAGTGATTTCCCAGCATTTTTTGAACCTTTACTTGTAATGGAGTAATATTTGACCAGCAGTATCTGTACTTTCACTCAAGTAATGGAGTTGAGTACTTTGTCCGCCTCTGGTTAAAAGTTTAACTTCTTGTGATGCAGTATTATAAATGCGGCTCTCATAAGCAAAGTAATGATACGTTACGACGTCAAAGACGTCCGTCTTGTACTTATATAGAAAAACTATTTAAAAGCAGGGTCACCAAATCTGACAAGGCAGCACTGAAATCTGTTACTCGCCTTTATTTTACACAGAATGTTTGTAATGTTCTCCATATTCACTCTGGTGATGTCTAACCTCCTCTATTTTACATCCCAATAAGCATTTTGCTCTGATGTGAACAGTTGCAGATATACAGCAAGGTCAACAATTCCGACAAGGCAGCATAACAGGTTACCAAAATCTGTTACCCTCCTCTATTTCACACTGAATGGCTTTAATGTTACCCAAATTCACTCAGGTGATTTCCAAACTCTAATGTTTCATACACCAAAGAGCATTTTGTTCTCAGTAACAGATAAACAGCAGGGTCACCAAATTAGCAGAGGCAGCATTTGAAGTTACTGTAATCTGTAACTGCCCTTTTAACAAAGCCTGATTATAGCCATTACACGTCCACAAGCAACACACAAGGCGCGTTTCCATTACCCCTCAAATTGCGCAAATTGAAATTGCGAATTGAAAATACTAAATGGAAATGCGTCAATTTCGCAAAAACGCCCATATATCGCAAAAAAGTTTTTACGCTCGCATGAGGTGGTTTTTCAGGCAATGCAAATAATTCACAAAACTGCAATGGAAATGGCTTTTTCGCATTTACAGGTCACATGGTGTATATGTAAAAAGCCATATGATCATTCTTCAATGTACTATAACCTCCAAGAAAACATCATACGTGGCTGCTCTCCAGTATAAGGGGCTTTCCCTACCATTAATGCTTAGACAATTTACACTGCACACGTCTGTGGTGCAGTGTGTCTCTGATACGGCCACTGAAGCTGATTGCGGCCACAATGCTTGTGTTTATTCCAGAATCCAGCCGCGCGACGCACGTTTCTGAAGCGGCTCTCAGTGCTGCTTCTGTAAAGATACACGCATACGCCTTCTTTGAATAAATATAGCCAAAATCCGTCAAAATCAATTCAAAACACTGCTACAAAAACCTGCTTTTGGGAAACAGGAATCATTTTGATAGTCAATGTTTGTTACAGTATGCAGCATAAATAGAGGGGTGCAGATACAGTAAAATTCAGCAATAAACTTTAAGAAAAGTTTACTTTCATTACACTACTGTAAAGTGATCTTACAGTAGATGAAAAGCACTAGAAGATAAAAGTTCAAAAACCAAACAACTGAATATACAAATGCATTGGAATATACTGTCAGTTACTGTAAAGCAATAAATACAATTTAAAAAATCAGCATCTTCTGCCAAGTTGCATTACAGTATTGGTAATATCCTTTTTTGTTATACTATAGCAGTTTCTTAGTCTTCTGACAAAATATTTTCTCTGCATCCCCTAGACCAGGGGTAGCAAGTTCGGTCCTAGAGAGCCGCAGTCCTGCAGAGTTCAGCTCCAACCCTAATCAAACACACCTGAACAAGCTAATCAATGTCTTCAGGATTACTAAGGCTATATGTAGGTGAGTTCTTTTTTCAGGGTTGGAGCTGAACTCTGCAGGACTGCGGCTCTCTAGGACCGAACTTGCCTACCCCTGCCCTAGACAGTCGACTCTCAGTTCTGCACAAATACATGTAAGAAGTACTTGGCTACAAATCAATTCAACAGTTATGAGTTTGAAGGTGTGTGCTACAGTATTTACAGTACAAAGTATAGTGAAAGTTCTCTCATCTGAAGTACTGCTACTACAGGGGTAGGCAAGTTCGGTCCTAGAGAGCCGCAGTCCTGCAGAGTTCAGCTCCAACCCTGAAAAAAGAACTCACCTACATATAGCCTTAGTAATCCTGAAGACATTGATTAGCTTGTTCAGGTGTGTTTTTTCAGGGTTGGAGCTGAACTCTGCAGGACTGCGGCTCTCTAGGACCGAACTTGCCTACCCCTGCCCTAGACAGTCGACTCTCAGTTCTGCACAAATACATGTAAGAAGTACTTGGCTACAAATCAATTCAACAGTTATGAGTTTGAAGGTGTGTGCTACAGTATTTACAGTACAAAGTATAGTGAAAGTTCTCTCATCTGAAGTACTGCTACTATGTACTGTAATTGTAATGTATAAGTAGTGTAAAAACTCTGTAGATGAGCCTGCAGGCCAGCTTTCCTTATGCTCATTCCATGCACAAGAACATGCACAGCTATAGTGCTTTGTATTTCATCAGGAACAAATTAAATTTGACCTCAACCCCTTCGTTTTTATTTTCATCAGCTGTGCTCTTGTTCATATCATCCTGAGATTCTGACTGGTGTGTCATCAGTTTTGCTACTTAATGATCACACGTGGATAAATGTGTGCTATTTGTGTTCATTTTGTGATTCTTGAGGTAGTTATATTGTGTGTTTGTGTTTTCTAAATGAGAACATGGTTAAACCTGTGCAAAATGATGCCGTTCTTTTGTAGAGTTTTGCAGAAAACACTGAGCAAATTGGAACGTGTGAAAACAAGTGAAATGTGTTCAAAGTTTTGAGAAGCATGTCTTTGTTTCGAGAACTGTATGAATGGTTTGGAAAATTGTGCCAAATGAATCAGTTATAGTGTTTAAGCAATCGAGAAAAACTGTAATATGTTTTTTAAAGCTTTTAAAATGATTAACCGTGTTTTCTTTTAGGCTTGTGCTGCATCATATAAATGACAAAATGCATACATTCAGATCATTCACTCTTTTTTGTTCTTTTGGCTACAATTTGTGATATTATGTTTATTTTTTATTTATTTATTTATTTAATTAAAAAAAAAATGTATTTGGTAGACAACAACTCCATACTTTATAGTGGTGATTAGCTTCTTTTCAATCTCTGATGTTTGTTGCCAAAAGACCTCATCTGACCTCAGAAGCCATCACCAATCAAAGCTCCTGTAATGTTCAGTAAACTTCAGCTGCTTACATTTGTGATTTTAAAAATAGCATAGGCTTTCTTCAGACAAGAAGAGCTCTGATGGTTGGCATGAAAGCCGATTTTTAAAAAATGTTCATCCTTAGCACAGTGCATGGAGAAAAATATGCCTTTGTCCTCCAGCTGTTTGAAACTGCCTGACAAAAGGTTTCTAAATAAGGCAGTGGCTTTATTAAAGAAAATAGTCTTCTCCATTATTGGGGCTCTGCTGTGTTTAAACACTAACAGTGGAGATAAGGTGCAGTAATAATGGATAATGTATGAAACTCTTCTTGCCCTAATTTCAAAGAGTAAATAGATGTTTTTTCCAAACAATTTGATATTACAAAATTAGATTTCTCTTTTATATGCAGTGTAAAGTTAATGTAATAAACAACAAGTGCATGTTTCTCCTGGAGTGGCAATAATTGCGGAGGCTACTGCAACTTGCTGCCATGGTGATGTGGCTCCATTTGAGGTCCAAGATGAGTGGAAACCTTCGCACACATGTAGACCAGCGAAACACTATGGGTTTCGAATCAATTTCAGCCCGAATCCCCATGAATCTCGCCTTGTGAAGATCACAGCCACTGTGAAAAGCTATTCATCTGGGCAATTCCAAGGTTACGTACAAGAAGACCACTGTAGCTCAATGCACGCTATGGGGCTTGGCATGCATCTCCATATTTCATAAACAGATGTGTTGTTTACGGGTGGCAGGGGTGTGTAGACGAGACTCTCTGACCTTGCCATGTCACTGTAATGGTGAAGGTAACAGCTGTTTGGCCATATGGGGGTTTAGAAGAGCCGTTGGTAACTCGTGTTATATTATTTTGCAAAATAATTGTGAATCCTCATATTGCAGATATTTCAGGTGATGATATTTGGTTTGGGGTTTAATAATATATCATAATGTGAGGAAAAAATCCAATTTTGAGCCAATTTTTGAGATTGAATGTTGCATCATTTCTGTTTCAAGCTCAGGGCGGGTTCTAAGACACACTTGTTCTTACCTTGCCACTTGATTTGCTTCTGTTATTCCCACTGGGGAGGGTTGAAGATGAGTTGACGTCCTCATGGAGGCGGTCCAGAAGCCAGAGCAGGAATTCAAGAGCGTCATGCTGGGAATTTCCACGAAACTGTGCACCATATTTAGATACTGTCATCTGGACAAGAAACAAGATAAAGGTCACACAAGTAGTAGTAGTAGTAGTATCAGATTGTCTATAAACAGACAACACAAAAAGTTAAATATGATCCTAAACATGATCCAACTAAACATGATCCTAGTTATTCACTCCATGTATATGATGCTGAGTTATCCAGTGAATCTCTAGAAAAACCAATCCTGGAGTGGTTGAATAATAATCAGTGGATCTGACACACAACAGACAGTTCGTTAGATACTGAGATGCGATAGTGAACAGATGGAGGATGTAAATTGCATTCTGCTATACAGTGAATGATGCGCCTCACTACTGATCATGACAACAACTGTGTAAATTATCACATCTGGGATCACAAAAAAAGTTCTTATGAAATGCATTGGCAGATACCAGCAGCAGTTTTTTTGGTTTGCTTTACAGTAGTAATATTATTTGCACATTTATTTTCATTCAATATGTTTCTAATCAAAAGTTTGGGTTCAGTAAGATTTTTTTTTAAAGAAATTTATACTTTAATTCAAAAGTGACAAAGACGTATAATAAAAGTCTATTTCAAATAAACACTGTTCATTTGAACTTTTATATTTATCAAGTAATCCTTAAAATAACATGGTTGACATGGTTTTCACTAAAATATTAAGCAGCGCAACTTTCCAACATTAATAATAATGAGAAATGTTTCTTAAGCAGCAAATCAGCATGTCTGAATGATTTATGTAGGATCATGTGACACTGAAGCCTGGAGTAATGATACTGAAAATTCAGTTTTGCATCACAGGAATTTATTACATTTTAACATATATTCTTATAAAAAAATTTTTTAATTGCAATAAAATTTCACAATATTACTGTTTTTGTTTGTAGTGTTTATCAAATAAATGCAGCTTTGCTGAGCAAAAGAGACTTATTTGATTACAACATGACTTGAAGGCCACATCATTTAAAGACGTCTTGAAAGTCAGGTGAATTTAAAATCATAACTTTAATGCTGAGTGACATAAAGATTAATTACAGCAGCATTAACCATATAAACGCAATCTAGCAGCTGGGAGCAAACTGCAGATAATAATATGAAGCCGTAGGCCTACAGACTGAGATAACTTAATAATCTTAACATTAGTCATATAGTGAGAAAGTGGGTCATGTGGTCACAGAGATTAAATCCATCTTCAAAAGAATAAAAGCCTAGTTTTCGGAATGGTTTCCTCCACTAAATGCCTCGCCCTCAAAGGAGTTATTCAGAGGAACAACAATTTATTCAATAACTTCTAATTAAACGCATATGACAGAGAAACTGCTATATACTCCTCAAAGAGGTCAAAGGCCACAAGTCTTGTGTTGTGAGAATGAAAATATATCCCAATGCAACCCTCTACATTGCGAGTAAATCACTCGCATATGCGACTAAATCTTACTCTGGGCGACTAAATAATATCTAACATTAGCCATTGGCTAATAAATTCTTAGATTTTACATGCCAGTATGTGTGTGTGAGGCGTTCAACACAGATTTTCACTCGATAAACACGCTGACTGAGCGCTTGAGAGTTTCGCTCTCCGTCAAGCGATCTGTACTATTTGGATGTGCTCAATGGATCATGTCATGTACTCAATGGATGCGCTGTGTGTAGCACGCAGCACACCTGTATTTGACGTACCGTAAACTAGTGTGAAGGCGCACGACTCGCCGTCACTTTACTGATAGCGCAGTGTTTCTCACGCATGCAAAGAGAGAGAGCGAGAGTCTTGTATACCACGCTGAATCGGCACCCTTTAGGTTAAAAAGTGTATAACTATCTGTATATAAAAACAATAAAAGTCTATGTAATGTCCCCATTTAGATAGCTAAGTAAACGTGTGTGTGTGTGTGTGTGTGTGTAAAATAGTATATCAGTTTGGCGGGTAAACAAAAAAATTTACTAGCCAATGTCGATTATATTGCCAAGGTGTGCGTAGAGGGTTGCCAATGTTTAATTTATAACATATAGTCAACAGTGGAGAATGTTGGAATTCTGGTCCTGTGAAATGTCTTTGGCGCATGTGAAAGCTTTGAGAAATGTAGGCCTCCAATTATCTGTGGTATTAAAGAGATGATTCCTGTCATTATTATATAAAGAAAGGCTTCCCTTTCATCAATGAGTGCTCAGCCTGAAGAGGTTTGACTTGAACGTTAGTTTTGTGCAGAAAAGGATGAACTAGTATTAGTATGGAAACAGGTCCTTTAAGGAGAGACTAACCATGAATTGTATTGGTCTTCTTTGCTTTTTGATTAATAAACACTAGTTTATAGACATCCCCCAGCCATATTCTCACAACAATGTTTTGTATTGCATATATAGAGAAATATCCCAGTGTTTTTATATACAGTATATCAGGACAGGAGTTATAAGAAGGAAAAGCACCCGGAACTATCATCCATTAAATAATTAAAAAATAGTATTAAAGAAGTTGGACCGTTAAAATATCAAAGCTTTGATCTTCAAAGGCCTTCTTTTTTGGTCAGCATCTCGTCAGTGAACCCAAATATAAGGATAAAATAATTGAGTTAGACCTCACGAAATTATTTGGAAATGCAATTTTCTGTCTATTTCATATTAAACCATGAATTTCCATTGTTGTTAGTAATGACTAGATAAGGATTTTTAAAAGTCATTTTAAAGACACTGCATGCACAATGAGTAATTTCTAATTATGAGCTTAACTAGGAAAACAAATACAATTTTTACTATTATATTATATTACTTTTTATTTAATATTATTTAAAAAAAAATACTTCCAGGTTTTCCATAATAAATTTCTTTTTTTTTTTTATTATTCTTTTGTACATATAATTTAGACGTTCTTGTCTCAGACGGTATTTTATTACCGATTTCTATATGCCCTTCCTGGCAAGATAAGCCATCAATTTTTGGTTTCCTGTAAAAGAAAGAATGTATATTTTTAAATGCATACATCTTCTAGTTTTATCAACTTTTAGAAGTACACTGTGGAGTACAACATTTTTCATTCATTTCCAATACTGGCACAGTAGACTTGATGACTTAATATATACTCAGATCAGCCATTAACTCTGCTACATTCCCCTTTGAGTTTGACTAGCTAGACATCAGTCAGGAACTATACACAACACGACCTTGTGATCTGTGAAATACCAGCCTGACATCCATCAACCGCATACCAGCTCTACCAACAAGCTCCTTTCCCCTTTAACAACTCGTTGATTTGAGTTCAGTTACACAAGATTTTGGTCTTCGGTTGCATTTGCAATGGCATAATTGAACCAGTCACCACTTGTGATGCTTTCACTGTGTAATTCAGGTCCATTTTAGTCTAATTAGAAATATATTGCACTTTACTACAGCAGATATTAAGTAAATTAAGTTAAGCGCAGTGGGAGGCATAAATTATAGGGTAGAGCAGATTGTTTATAGGTGGATCCCTGTATCTGCGGTTAGGCACTCATTAACTCTCGCAGACGTCTGAGAAGCAGAGAGAGTTTATTTATGTCATCTCTAGACAAGATACTCTGGGCTCTGTCAACAGGAAAAAGCAAATCATGCCTCAGACGGCCTAATGTAAATTTATGACATGCAAGTCAATAGACTATTGTCTTGTGTAGAATCCCAAAATACAGTATACAGTAGATGATCTTTGATTCAGATTCATCCTTAAATGTGTTTTTGAGTAGGCACAGCCTTATATTTTGCCTTGAGTATTCTTGTAATTCTCTATTCGTCTAACATGCAGCCCAGATTGGGAGCCTTCCAGGCAATCATTTCAGACTTTTGATAGTAGGGTGTGAATAGCACTGGGCCTCTGTTTCCCATCAGAGCATCAGGTCTACCTTATGGCTACACTCCCACCTCCTCTCGATGACGCTTTTCCACTGAAATGTTTTCTAGATTTCTCCCACCTGCTAGTTTCTTTAGCTACTCCTACCTCAAGATAAATGGCTTAACCCTGTGAGGAGCTTAAAGAAGCAGATTATATCATAACCGAACTTTTTTCTTAGTGTGAAGAATGTTTTAATAATCTAAAGAACCTTTTTCGACTATAAAGAATCCTTTGTGGAATGGAAGGATTCCAAAGGCTCTTAATGGATCCATACATGTCTGTATGATCCATACAAGTGTTGCTGAATGAATTTGTTGGCAATTTTGACTATATCTTTTATGTAGAAGCAAAGCCTGAACTAATAATCCGTATGTAACTGTCATTGTGAAACATTCATACTAGTAAACCTTCAGCTTTTTGCCATCTGCCCCCTCGGTCTTAAAGAATGTAGCGGAAAGCTCTTTTGTCATCATTCTTCTAGTAAATGTATGACGCTAGTAGTAGAGAAAGTGAGAAAGTGTTTTATAAGACTTGCGTTCCAGATCGCAGTCGACTTTGTGGTCGCTATCCAGTGTGGTGATGTCTTATCTGAGAGTGCACTCTAGTTTTTAAGTTTACACCCTGCTGATAATGTTATCTGTGGAAAGTTTCTCATCCTGATCTATTTTTTACTGAGAAGAGATCATCCCGTGGGAACGCATTTGCTCACATACTGAACAAACTGGCCAGAGAAAGCTCCATGAGCTGATTTTAAGTTATATGTATAGTTGACACCACACATGTCCATGAGTTTCTTTGTCAACACTAAGGTTTTAAGTTAAAATAAATCAATATATAAGGGGATATGTACATTTTAGGTGTTGTCCGGTCACCGTTTCCAAGTTTTTTTTTTTACCATTTTAATCAGAGTTCATTTTAATAGGCTATCTGGCATGGCATTACTTTTTAAAAGTACATTTTCTCAATAAATACATTCTTTTGTCACAAATATGCATGCATAATAATTATGAAGGATTTTGCATGCTCTTTGAAGGCCTTAAAAAGTTAATGCATCAGGCTGTAAAATCTATTTTTAAATGGAACCTTTATAGACACTAGTTTCCTCCATTAACCCCATAATAACGTGAAGAGCATTTGAGCAGCTTGAAATGTATAGCTACATTCCTTAAATACTATGGGATATTTGAGGAACTTTCACAGGATGCCTAGATGATCCTGTACCTGTAATAAGTGGATAAAAGCGTCAGTGACAAAATAAAACAATTACAGTTTACTTGAGTCTACCTTAAACTCAGCCGAGAGTTGAGGAGTGTATTGAAAAGTCCAAAGCGCTCGGACCAAAGTCGCGAGCCGTTCCGTAACCTCTCCTTTCTCCTGCTGACCGTTCTCAATCTTTATAAACCCGTTCATTGCCCTGTGACACAGATCCAGTTTATATCGCTCCAGACACAGATACTCAGCGAGCAGGTCCGTGTTGCTCAAGCACTGCACGACGGCGTTCATGAAGCAGGTGTTCCCGTGATTCTTCAGACCCAGCACGCCTGGCGTTTTATCCCCGTACAGCGAGAACAGTCGCTCTTTCGCGGAGGAAGGGCAGGGAAGCGAGGAACTTTTCCTCACCTGACTGCTGTTGTCTTTTCTCACATGTCCCGAGTTTCCCGCGCAAGGTGCGCTTTCTCCAAACCCACCATCATCCTCCTCAGCATCCGAGCGCTCGGTTGTTTCTCCGCCGTTAGCCAAGCTCCCCAAACTTTTCAAGATCTTACTCACCAAACTTTCCACTGATTTGAATGATTTCCTCCGGAACAGCTTCCCTGTGCGTTTCGTAGACTTCCCTGAATCCTTTTTCGCTTTCTTGTCGCGTTTATCCATACCTCTTGCTTATTTCCCTCCGGATTACTAAACCGTTCAAGCACGCGGAGTGTTTTTATCCTCACCGGATGCAGCGTCGGTATCCAGCATTGTGGACAGCAGTGGATTCACGCGCAGCAGATGAGCGCAGAGATTTTCCTCACGCGCGCCGTGAAGGAGTGATTGACAGGCAGCGCGGTCAGAACGGCAACTCCCGTTGCGTTATACCGGCAGGCGGTTTGGAACGAACGAATGATTGACAGTTCTCCGGTAACGGCGGTAAGCACGAGCGCTCCTAGAACTTCATACTTGCGGGAAGCTGCGAGCGATGGAGTGATTGACGGGCAGGCAGAGCTGTCAGTACGGCAAGCCTAGTGATCAGTGTACGAATTATAGCCTACATTGCCTTTCAGGGATTTGACTATTTTAAAGGAATTACAGTTTTTTAGAGGAATTTTAAAGGTCCCATATTGTCAAAACTGAAATTTCCTGTCTTTTTTCATGATAACTGAGGTCTAGGTGCTATGTAATTACCATATAAGTTTCAAAACAGTCAGTCCTCAGTAAAATGCACACAGCCTGCATAAAGTAGCTGTGATTTTTCACGAACCATCATGACTTCCGTAAAAGTTGATGTCAGGACTACACAGTCACTGCCTTCAGTCACCACCCCGAGCACCGCCCACAGTCCCACTCCATTTGCCAAACCCCCAGACAACATCGCATCCATGCCATTGCTGAGCAACGACAACAACACGGAAACATGTCGAAAAGGTTAACTTTAACCAAACTGATCTGACAGGACTGTTACTATGAGGTGGATCACATCTAACGTGTATAGTAAAGACAAACTCACCGTGTCTATCTAGTAATGATGAAGATGAATATACATTTCAATTTCAGCAGGCAACTATTTTTACAGCTACATAACATAGAAAAATAAATATTTTACAGCTATGTTTTACAGCAACAACTGGTTTGAACGGGCCGCCTCCAGTTTCCCATTTGTTTTGCTGCCTCCAGCTAGCGCTGTGACGTCGGCTGACCCTAATTATCTGTGGTTGGCCTGGCCGTGCGTCACTCAGAAAACAACAGGCCAATCAGAAGAGAGGCTCATGAATATTAATTAGACAGGCCAAAATCGACCTGTTCTCAGCAGAGCTCCTGAGAGAGGAGCTGTAAAAATATATTGAGATGGTTTTTGGTACTTATACCGCAAATATATATTCTTAAGGACATCAAAACCTAAAAAAAACTCCAGAACGGTGTAAAATATGGGACCTTTAAGGTTTATCTATCTATCTATCTATCTATCTATCTATCTATCTGTCTGTCTGTCTGTCTGTCTGTCTGTCTGTCTGTCTGTCTATCTATCTATCTATCTATCTATCTGTCTGTCTATCTGTCTGTCTATCTATTTATCTATCTATCTATCTATCTATCTATCTATCTATCTATCTATCTATCTATCTATCTATCTATCTATCTATCTATCTATCTCTGTCATTATATCTATCTATCTATCTATCTATCTGTCTGTCTATCTGTCTGTCTATCTATTTATCTATCTCTGTCATTCTATCTATCTATCTATTTATCTATCTCTGTCATTCTATCTATCTATCTATCTATCTATCTCTGTCATTCTATCAATCTATCTATCTATCTATCTATCTATCTCTTTCATTCTATCTATCTATATATCTATCTATCTCTTTCATTCATTCTATC